AGTAAAATATAATACAGTAGTACACAAGAGGAAAGTTAATGTACATATACTCATTTATAGTTCTTAGATTTTATGTGAAGTGGTATATTATTTGAAGATACATTATTAATGAAGAATGCATATTGTAAATTCCTAGAGCAACCCCAAAATAATATAGCTAAAAGACCATAAAAGGAGATAAAATGGAATAATTTTATTTAGAAGATAGGAAAGAGGAACAAAGAACAGATAGAAAATAAATAGTAATGTGATAGCTTTAAGTTATGCCATAGCAATAATTACATTAAATATAAAGGTCTGAGCCCACCATTAAAACACAGAAATTGTTAGATTGGCTGAAAAAGTAAGACTTAACTAGGTACTTTCTACAAATGGACACTTTAAATATAAAGGCAGATTTGGTTAAAAGTAATAGGTGGCAAAAGATATATCAAATTAACATTAATCAAAAGAAAGCTCCTATGGCTACAGTGCTATCAGGCAAAATATACTTAAAAGACAAGGATTATTACAGAAAAAAAAAATCTCACAGTGATAAAAAGATCCATTCATTAAGAAATATGAATCCTAAGTGTGTATTCACTTTATAAGAGCTTCAAAATACATGAAATAAAAATAGAAATAAAAGGAGAAATAAACTTACAATATTTAGAGATTTCAATACTTTTTAGTAATTTATAGGAAAGTAATGCCATAAATTGGTAAGCATATAGAAGATTTGAACACCAATATCAACCATTTTTATTTACCTCATTGACATTTATAGAACATGCAGAATGTGACATTCAAGTGCACATGGAGCATTCACCAGATAGACATTTTTTGGGGCTGTCAAAAAGCCTCAGCACTGTTCAAAGGCTTGAAATCATACTACTGTGTTCTTTGGCTATGGTGGAATTAAATTAGAAATCAGTAGCAAAATGAGATTTAGTAGATCACCAAATATTTTGAAATTAAGGAAGACAATTCTGAATAATCCATGGGTAAAAAAATAAATGGGAAATTAAGAAAGCATTTAAAACAAATTCAACAAATTTTGTTCAGCAAGTTATGTCACTTGCTTAACAAAGCTTCTTCCACATCAAGTTGATAGAGATAAGCATCACAAAACCAACCCAAATTCATGGGATGGGGAAATAGATTCCATGTCTGTCTTTTAGGTGGTGTGAAACATTGTGACCATGTTTTTCAATTTACAGTGATTAACTCAGAGAGATTTTATCCTACTTGAAAGCTTTACCCTACTTACAAGTGACAAAAGTTAAGCCTGCCAGAAAACATAAGACCAGTAGATAAGAGAAGAAGAGTTTAAAATTACTCACTACAGAAGCAGCAACTGGAATAATGTCTTTTGTTAGTTCCCTGAGCGTTAATCTTGGGGATTAAGGTGAGGGTCAGATGGTACCTGCACATGCAGGAGAAGAACCCCAAATTAGGAAACCCAATCTTATTTAGGACCACTGGTAACCTGTCCATCCTATACTGTGCATATAAACCAAGTCTTTTCTGGAGAGGGGAAGGTAGACTGTCTCAGTCTCTTTAGACAAGCATCTTAAATTGGCTGTTTAATGACATTGCTCAGAGGGCTCAGACCCTGCAGAAATGTGAGTAGTTCATGGAGAATTGTTTTCCCAACACATTGTACCCTCTTGCACAATAATTTGCATTCCTCCCATATACAAAAATTGATCACTCTTCTCCAAAAGTCTTATGCCATTAAGTATAAAGTATGAAGATTTGTATCTATTTCATCACCTAAATGATGAGGTACAGGTCCAGATGAGGCTCCTCAACACCATCTGTAATTAGAGAAATATAAAATAAAAACAATCAAATGCTGCTACACACCCACTGCGTAGGCTAAAACTAAGGAAGACTGAGAATACCAAGTGTTGATTAGGATGTAGTTGAAACTTGTCGCTGGGAGTGTTAAATAAGAACCACTTTGTGAAACAATGGTTTTAAAAATAAAATTGAACATACTTATAGATTATGACACATCAATTCATTCCCGTATATTTACCCATCAGAGCGAAAGCCTGTGTTCTCTTAACACTGCACACAAATATTATAGCACCTTTATTCAGTACAGGTTGCCTTGGTCAGGGTATTGACTGGAAAGGGCAAGTGTGAACCTTCTATGTTTATGGAAATGTTTTGTATCTTGATTCCTGTTAGTTACATGGAAGTATACATGTGCCATCTATACTCTTAGACTGTGTTTATTTTATTATGTAAATTACATCTAAAATGTAAAAGTGGAAATTTCTGCACATGTGGAAACTCCTTAGTAACTTTAGTATGTATGTCTACCACTTCACTGCACAGTAATTTTTTTTAGGCTAATCAAGGTTTGACACAAAAGTTAAAGTTTTTGTATTGAAGACACTCTCAGCACTCTACTGGATTAGAAATGGGTTAATGGGGCCAGACATTGATATTGATCTAGCCCTAAGTGTTGATCTTCTAACTATGAGTGTGATCTATACAATGGTGCCTTTGGTATAGATGAAATAAGATTGATTATGTATTGATTATCATTGAAACTATGTGTTGGAAAAAAGAATCACATGAGCATTTTGCTTAAGATGAAGAATATAGAATTTTACATCTAATCTAAATCAGAAGAATCTCTAGAGGAGAGGGTGCGGTAATGTGTATTTTTGAAAAATTCCTGGAGTGAATTTTATTAAGCTAGTTATACAGTTACACTCAAGGTTTATGTGTTATCTTTCATATGAGCAGCTTTTTTTAATTGGCGGGAGGTTTTGCTATTAATGGTTGCACAAATCCTATTTATAAAAATTTGCCAAAGGGCTCTTTTTCTAGATTATTCCCATCTGTCTGCAAATCCACTGTTGTGTCTTTTGATTCATAATTCTGTTCTGGCAACTGCTGTTTTTCTAATGTCCTTCATATCAAACTACCTGTTTTTATTTGCTCTATCCATTTCTCCTGTTCTTTCTTGAATCCCTTTCAAACAGTGTTTTGGCTCACCTCTAGAAGTGTTTTCGTCAAGATATGAGCAGTGACTTTTACATTAATACATAGTGGCAATTCTAAGTCCTCATGAACGGAGATAATTAACTCCTTCATCCTTGGAACATTTTTTTCACTTGGCTTTTAGGATATCACAGTTTTTTTTCTTGCATTACTTGACTGCTTCTCTTCAGTGTCCTTTACTAGTTCTGTCTCTGACCCCTGATTTTATAATGTTTTGGGGCTCAGTCATTGGATCTGTTCTCTTTTCTGTCTACCCTCATGCTCCTGATGATTTCATCATTTAATTGCTTTAAATATCATCTATAAGCAGATGACCTTTAAATTTATGTTCTCAGCTTTGTTCTCTCCCAACATCTCTGAATGCCCATATTCAGCTGCCTATTCAGGACTCCACTCAAGTATCTTTCAGGCATTTCAAACTACAGTTTTTAAACACAAACATCTCATCTCTCTTTTCTGCAACCTGTTCCTACCATGGTCCTATTCCATTTCAGTTTACTGGCAGCTCCAGTTCTACAAAAATGTGGGAGTATGTTGAGTAACAAAAGGTTTAGCAGTCATCTTTGCTTGCTATACACAAAGGTATATTTTTGTGGTGGGCAGTACATGTAGAATTCATGAAGAAGTTGAACAACTCAGAAGCCTTCAAAAATTTGGCATGAGGACAAATAGCTCAGTACATTTAGGGTGACTTTACAATTCTGAATATTTGTGGATATTACTCTTAATTTTCAATAAAAAGATTATGATGTATATTCTTTTTATTAAGGCCATTTGTTTTTGGTTTTAGGCTTTCTGACTTTGGAATGTGTTGGCTACAAGTACAGAAAACTTAGCAATAGCTTAAGCAAATAAGGAACTGAGTTTTCTCACATACCAAGAAATCCAGAAGGAGGCAGTAGTTAGCATTGGTTCGGCTGCTTAGCAGTGCTACTAGAAACTCCATCTTGTTTTGCCTTTCTACTCTATCAGTGTTATTTATTGGCTGGCTTTTAATCCTCATGCTTGTTGATTTATGGTAATAAGATGGTTGTTTCAGCTCTAGACATCTTGTACAGTTTCAAGGCTAGAAAAATGGGAGACTGGTGGTGTCAGACACATTTGTGGCCTTTTATCAGGAAAGCAAATGTTTTCCCAGAACCAACTCCCATTCTACCCCCAAAGCAGACTTTCAAGTACAAGTTTTTGATCTTAACTGATCACAGGACCTCTGTTCACCTCTCCAGGCCTGGAAAGCTCAAAAGCTGGGTCTGTTATTGCCCTCAATAGTCAAGATTCTTAAAAAGGGGAATAAATCCAAGAAGCAATTAAAAGTGCCTGACACATAGAACATGAAAAACTACTAAATTTAAATATAATTTGTGATTAGAGTTTATTTGCATGGAAAAGTTTTATTATTTCTCAGTAAGTTCAAATAAATGGTATTTTAATTGTGGGTATAGGGTGGCTGGTTGCTCAGTTGGTGAGAGTGCAGCCTTATAAAACCAGGGTCATGGGTTTGGATCCTTGTACCTGCCAGCTGCCACCAAAAAAAAAAAAGTTGGGTGAATGGGTGTTTGGGGTTTTGTGTTTTTTTTTTTTTTTTTAAAATATAGATGAGGGCTTTCAATAGTTTACAGCTGTATCAAAGAAAATTCACTTGTTAAGAAGCTAACATTTAGAAGTTAGCAAATTTGTCTGTGTTTTTTAAGAAACTAATATTTTGGTTTGAATGTTTGGTCTTAATTATTTTCGGGTTACAATGGTCAATTGAGAACTTTAACTTTTAAGGTAAAAAAAAAAAAGAGAGAGAGAGAAAAAATTTTGTTTTTTTTTTTTTTGGCAGTTGGCCAGTAGGGAGAGAGAGAGAAAAAATTTTGTTTTTTTTTTTTTTTGGCAGTTGGCCAGTAGGGGGATCTGAATCTGTGAAGAAAATTAGAAATTAGAAGAGATGTTCCTTAGAGTCATAAAGATCTATTTTTGTTAACTTTGGTTTTCTTTTTGCTTTCCATAGAATGTTGGCTCAATTAAGAAACATCAGGGAAATAAATTCAACCCAGTGGTAAGTAACTTTAATTTCTTTTGTTAGAAAGTTTTTGGCTTATTATTATGTCCCTTCTGGGTTGACTGTTTTTCTTCCATTGTGATTAGAAAATTCTTATGTCTGCAGTGTTACTTCTGATTTATAAAGTGGCCCTTATCACATCACTAAAATTCTAGGCTTTCTCCCTTTTAGATTACTTCCTTGTTTTATTGTGTGAGCGAGGATCTCTTTGGATATTGTTGCTCATTTACTTTTCTTTAATATGGTACTTTCTTCCTCTTGCCCTCAAGGATGAAGGCTCCTCTTCTTTCTTATCAATCAGCATTTTTTAGTTTGTACTACTTTCATCTCCAGGACTGATTAAAATTGGGGTCCATTGTGTTTGGGTGCCCGGCCCACTGAATTTAATCTGAGGTTTATGCTGCTCTCCTGACAGCCTGTGTCCACAGGAAGTTTTTCTTTGAGATGTAAACTATGTTCAGCTTTCTAGAGCCAAGCATCTAATCTTTTTTTTCCTGAACTCTTTGCCCTTTCTGAGAAGTTTTATAATTTCTATTTGTTGGCAACATGATTAGCTCTACCGAAAAATCTTGGAGGTTGTTTTATCTTTTATTATCACTTATTCTACCGTGTAAATCTCCTTATGTCTCAAGTGCTGCGTATCACACCTAAAATAAATATGCTCTTTTACATCACATATATTTGGTAATAACATTTTATGTTCTTTATCCTTAGCTAGGCATTATGTTCCCAAGTGCAGAATAGTTTTGGGGAAGTGGATTTTTTAGGACATAGCTTTCAAGTTCCTGGATATTATGAAATTACAAAATTCAAATATACAATAGTTATAATAAGGTGTGCCAGAATAATAGTTTGAGGCCTCCTACCACCATTGTTTGATCCAGTATTTTAGCCACTAGCCACTCGTGGCTACTGAGAATTTAAAATGTGGTTAGTGTGATTGAAAAACAAATTTTAAATTTTATTTGATTAAGTTTAAATAGCCACATGTGTCTAGTGGCTACCATATTGGACAGAGCAGATTCTTTCCCATTGTTCTTAAGTCATTTTCAGTTGTATTCTTAAACTGTCTAGAACAAGAAATTTTTTATTTATTTTTGGAATTTTTATATGCAGTCATAAGCATACAAGTATAAACTAAACTCTTTAGCAATTAAATTCTTCTTATTACATGAACTGTTTTTATTCTTATCTGTGAAACATGCCTTTATATAAACATAGATTGTTAGTAAGTATTCAGTAAACTTTTTAGGATATTTGTTGACAAAGATTTTAGATGGAAACATTTGATATATGATATCTTAGTTTATTTTTGTAAAACCTGAAGAAGTATGTAGCAAAGACCTTTTGAACTTGGATCATTTTGAGCACCTGAATTAAAGTACGTATTATTACATATTGAGAAGCAGTATGAGAGAGCCTAGACTCAGTTTATTTATGGAAAAATGGGCTAATAGTAGGTACATGTCTTAGAAAGTTGTAGTGAGGATGAAATGAGAATATGCGTATAGTTTATCTGAGGTGCTTAGCACAATGCCTGTTATATGGTAATTGAGTAAGAATAGTCAGATTTTAAAAAACATTGCAAGGGAAATAACTTATTCTACTTGTTGTCTTAACACTTTAAGAATATCATTTTAGTCGAGGTAGAAGAGTTAGAAGCAGTGCCATATTGGAACCTGAGGCAAAAGGAAAAATCAGTAACACTGATCCTGTCTTTCTTTATATAAACATTTGACATGTTTGTAAATGGATTAGTTTTCAGTAATTTTTATTTTAAAAAGATATTGTATGAAGACATCTGTCTTGATTATTATATTTTTTGATGCCTTCTTATATTCTGTGCCTGAGGTCTCACTGACCTTAACCTAGTCTTGGCACTAGGTTAAAGTAATACTTTAATAGAGTCTTCTGTCTAGGGCAAGAATTTATCATTTTATGTACAAAGAATTGATAACACTACTTATCAGTCATTCTTACTTATTGAAATATATCTTTCTTTGTTAATATAATGTTAGCCTAGTTGGAATTAACCTATATACATACATTGTGTACTTAATAAAATTGTCCTTGAGAATCTTCACTAATTCAGAATTAGCCTTTTCCCTCAATTAATTTGAAGTCTCAATTAACTTTCCCTCAACTAATTTGAAAGCAAGTTTATGCTCCAGAGTGTAACCTAAGACGCATTTAAGACCTAAAAGCTCTTTAGAAAAACTATAAGGCAATATTTAATTGAAACAATAGACTTGGGGTAACTGGGAGTTTTCATGTGGGAGAATAATGCAGTTAGAGTGTTAGGAAAACCTGAAAATATCTTTAAATTCCCACTGAAAACTGCACACAATCAAGTTCTTAAGAAACATAGAACTATTAGAGCCAGAAATTAAAGAAAAATCTTTGTTGTATTAGAGTTTTTCTTGTCGAGAACTAAGAAGCAGACTCATAAAGTACGGTTTATGGAGAAGCATATAAATGGTTGGTTAACTGAGTTTTTTTCTGAAAGTCCTAAAATGCTTCAGTTTAATTTGAAATCCAGTAGATTATGAATATGGGTATTAAAGCAATGTTAAATGAGTTCCATTTGGTATGTGTAATAGTGGGAGTTGTAATTTGTTTGTGATATATGAATTGTGATTAGTGAATTGGAATAATTTGTTCTGAAATTGTACGTTATTAATGTGTATGTTTTAATTAAATTTATTTTTATTTGTATATTGCAGTGTCTAAAAATGACTACAAAACGAAGTTTGTTTGTGCGGTTGGTACCATGTCGCTGTTTACGAGGGGAAGAGGAGACTGTCACTACTCTTGATTATTCTCATTGCAGTTTGGAACAGGTTCCAAAGGAGATTTTTACTTTTGAAAAAACTTTGGAGGAGCTCTATTTAGATGCTAATCAGATTGAAGAGCTTCCAAAGGTATGTTAATACTGTCTTTTGAGAATTTTAAGACATTGATGTGCACTGTAATAGTTGAGGATAATTGTCCTTTTAGTTACCACATGATAATTTTATTGTTAAACAGCCTTTTAGAGGTAGCATTCTATTTTTCTCTATTTATTTGGGAAGGTTTTGGAGAGCTCCTATTTCTGAAATCTAGTAACAACTGGAAAGAGAAAGCTAGTTTATGACATTCTTAAACTTTCACCTTGTTTCTTAATTAAATTTTTTTTTTTTAAATTTAAAAGATGACCAGTAAGGGGATCTTAACCCTTGACTTGGTGTTGTTACCACCATGCTCACGCAGTGAGCTAACCGGCCATCCCTATATAGGATCCGAACCCATGGCACTGGTGTTAACAGCACCACAATCTCCTGAGTGAGCAACGGGCTGGCCGATTAATTAAAATTTTTTAGTGTACTTTTTCTTCTTAAATTCCAGTACCTCTTTATCTTGCACTCAATTTCCTGTGTTTTATGGAAAAGCTGCAATTTGTTAGGATCTTTTGCCATCCAAATAGCAGTGTTTTTGAAACTGGGGGGAGACCTATCCATGGCTTGTAAAATCAATTTAGTGCATGTGGCCAGCATTTTGAAAAATGAACTATAATTTGGACTGATAAAATTAGAAAATCAAAATATAGTACATTCAGTTAAATCAGAATTTTCAGATAAACAAGAAAAAATTTTTTGTGTGTGTCTCATGCAATATATAGGATATACTTGCACTACAAAATTATTTGTCTTCTGAAATTCACATGTAATTGGGCATCCTGTATTTAATCTGATAACTCTAATTATATAGAATACAAAATAGAGTGTGTTGTATACAGCCATTGTTTCATGAAATACTTGTTTTATACTTTGGTGTGTATATGAATACATTCTGGGTGGCAGTGTGCAAAAGGCTCCCCCTCCCCTCTAAATGTTATAAAAACATTTTGAAAGCCACTGCTATCCTAGGTTATCTTATAGAGAAATTTTGTATATGGCTATGGATAAAATATCAAAGGTTGTTGGTTGCATGGTTTGTGAATTATGTGCATAGGTTGTGGTAGGGAGTTTTGTAATTTATTATTCTTCCTTATATGTTGTTGTTCAGCAAGTAAATTATCTTCCTTAGCCAGTTTTGGAGAATATGGAAGACAAAGACTAGTCTTCTTTCGTAATCACCACTTAGGGTCTCAGTCTGGGGGCTGTGTTGAAAAAAGAAAGGCTCCGGCTGAGCCCGTGGCGCACTCGGGAGAGTGCGGCGCTGGGAGCGCAGCGACGCTCCCGCCGCGGGTTCGGATCCTATATGGGAATGGCCGGTGCGTTCACTGGCTGAGCGCGGTGTGGGCAACAGCACACCAAGGGTTGCGATCCCCTTACCGGTCACGAAAAAGACAAAAAAAAAAAAAAAAGAAAAGAAAAAGAAAAAAGAAAGGCTTGCTGTAACAGTGCGAGTAACTAAATCATTTATCTTATACCTCCTTTACGTTTTTGGAAGAATGCTCTTCTTAAATATGGCTTTCATTTTGAAGTAAGTTTGTTTGAAAGGTAAGATCCAAAGTTTATCATATGTAACAGCCACTTATTTTTTGACTACCTCAACAGAGAAAACATCCATATACTTATACTCAGTAAGTGCAATTTGCTTAGAGTAGAAGTATGAGGATGTAAAATCATTCTGAATAGTTCAGTTGTATTGAAATCCATAATAGCAAAACCAGAACAATGAGAGATCGTTCCTCTATTAGTGTAGGTATAACTTATTCAATTTTAATACAATTAGTAATATTTATTTGTATAAAGTTAGTATGTGGAATATTTATGGAAACTTACAAGATAATCCAAATCCTTTCTTCCCTTTTTTCAATAGCAACTTTTTAACTGTCAGTCTCTACACAAACTGAGTTTGCCAGACAATGATTTAACAACGTTACCAGCATCTATCGCAAATCTTATTAATCTCAGGGAGCTGGATGTCAGCAAGAATGGTAAGGTTTTTTTTCCCCTGATTTTTTGTACTTGGGAACATATTTCATTATTAAGATTTCTAGTGAGTTTTCACAAATAAAAATATAAAATTTAAAAGTCAAATTGTAATGTGTTATATTAGCTTCATCTAAGAATAAATGTATTTTATGTAAATATGAAGGCATTTTTTTCCATTTTAAAGGTTTTGCAACCTATTTCATATATATATGTATATATAAAATCTATGATAACTTAAAGCAAGTTGAGAATAAGTGTAAGGTTTTTTTTTACATTCTTATTAGGTATAGTCACCATGTTGTGCAGTCGATCCCTTGAACTTATTCCTTGTGTTTAAGTGCATTTTGTGCACTTTGACCAACATATCCTAATTCTTCACCTTTCCTTTCTCCCTAGCCCCTGGTAATCACCATTCTACTCTCTACTTCTGTGAGTTCACCTTTTTAAGATTGCATATATGTGAGGTCATGCAGCATTTCTCTTTCTGTTCTTGGCTTATTTTACTTAACATAGAGTCCTGCAGGTTCATCCCTATTGTTGGAAATGACAGGATTTCCTTCTTAAGGCTGAGTAGTATTTCATTATATATATATATATACCATATTTTCTTTATCCATTCATCTATTGGTGGACTCATAGGTTGATTCCATATTTTGGCTATTGTGAATAATGCTGTAGTGAACATGGGAGTGCGGATATCTTTTTGAAATTTTTGTTTCATTTCCTTTGGATATATATCCAAAAATGGGACTGCTGGATTACAATTTTTTGGGTAACCTCCATACTGTTTTGAGGGACAGTAAATGATTGAATGGAATTTGAATGAGTCCAAGAGTCAGATATTATCTTGTGAAAAGATCTCCTTCCTGTTTCTCTTTTCACTTTGGGTTTTTTTTCCCCAGTTATCTGATGAGATTCCTAAGGAGGGGATTTTAAGACAGTTGCATTTCTTTTGGAAGGCTCTGTTAGTCAGATAAAGAAATTCCAGAGAAAGTCCCTCCATGCACTTGGGGTGAGGGGAACAAGAAAAGTCAGAGGGACCTTGATTCTGAGGCTTATTTCTTTAGTTTGTTTTTTGCTGGCTGGCATAGGGACCTTGGTGTTACCAGTATCATGTTCTAACCAGCTGAGAGCTAACTGGCCCTGAGACTTGCCTTTTAATTTTAAAAGTACTCAGCATGCCATAGTGCCGTATTTTGGGAAATAGTTTTCTTCACCCCAACTGGTCTATCATATAGACCCTGTCTGAAACTTTTCTGAATTGGTTGCTGTGTAGAGAAAAAAATTAGTAGCTGAGTGGCAGAGGATTTTGTTAAACCAGTCTCCCATTCCTGTGAATAGGTCAGTACAGTTAAACATTTGTGTCTCATTGTTAGGTCTGACCTGTGGCTCACTTAGAGTGTGGTGCTGATAACACCAAGGATGTGAGTTCAGATCCTTATGTAGGGATGGCCAGTTAGCTCACTTGGGAGAGCGTTGTGCTGACAACCCAAGTCAAGGGTTAAGATCCCCTTACCAGTCATCTTTTTAAAAAGAAATAAAAAAAATAAACAGTTGTGTCTCACTGTAGAAGATGGTGTTGCAGAAGGGTTCTCAAGACTCTCAAAGCTAGGCCTCAATATTGGCTGTAGGAAAACAGATTCTTTCTTTTTTTTTTTTTTTTCCTTTTTGTCTCTTTTTTCGTGACCGGTAACGGGATCGCAACCCTCAGTGTTGCGCCCGCACCGCAACCGGCAATGGGATCGCAACCCTCGGTGTTGCGGCCGCACCGCGCTCAACCAGTGAGCGGACCGGTCTGTATATGGGATCCGAACCCTCGGCGGGAGCGCCGCCGTGCTCCCAAGCGCCGCACTCTACCGAGTGCGCCACTGGGCCGGCCTGGAAAACAGATTCTTAATAAGAAGAATTTCCATGGAAACAAACAAAAAACAAAGGTTAATTTCTGGAGCATTCTATAAGCTAATCTCTCAGTCTGGAGACCAGTAAGCTGAGAAGGTTAGTGGCAGTCTGTCACATTTTCCTGTATTGCAGTTCGAATCAGGTGTTTCAGTGAACTTTCTGAATAGTCCACACAGCAACAGGCACAAAGGTTGTTTATATATTAAAGTTTCTGTGGTGACTTCTCTGAAGTATATATCAAATGATCCAGTTTTTTTTTAAAAAAAGATGACCAGTAAGGGGATCTTAACCCTTGACTTGGTGTTGTCAGCACCAGGCTCACCCAGTGAGCTAACTGGCCATCCCTATATAGGATCCAAACCCGTGGCCTTGGTGTTATCAGCACCGCACTCTCCCGAGTGAGCCACAGGCCAGCCCAATCCAGTTTTAGCTTGGAGGGCTTGAGGAATGAGCAGCTTTAACTTCAGTGACTCAGTCAGAATGGTGGGAGAAAAATTGGAAGCATTAGTCTGGAGTGTTACAGCCAGATATTAGAGGAAATTAAAAATTTGGGATTCAGTTCAGATAATTAAAACTCAAAAACAATGGACAGGGCTAGAACCTATTAACAGTTGCACTTTAATTTTCTTCTGGAACATAGTTTTTTTCTCTCTAGTTCCCCATTTTTACTGAAGATATTTATGAGAGGACTAATTCATTTGCAGAATAACTTTAGTCTCAGGCCTGATTATTTCAGCAAGAATAGTGGTTTATCATATAGACTCTTTTCAGGTTGGCTTTTGATAGAGATTGGGTGTGTTGTCTCCACCAAAACTCATGTGGAAATCTGATCCCCAAAGTGACAGTGCTGGAAGCTGTTTGAGTCATGGGGGTGGGTCCCTCATGAATGGATTAATGCTCTCCTTGGAGGGAGGGGACTGAGTGAGTTCTTGCTCTTTTAGTTCCTGCGAGAGCTGGTTGTTTAAAAGACCCTGGCACCTCCACTCTCTCTCTTGCTCCCTCTCATCATATGATCTGCTTGTACCTGCTGGCTGCCTGCCACTTTCCGCCATGAGTAGAAGCAGTCTGAGGCCCATGCCAGGTGCATCTGTCCCAGAATCATGAACCAAATAAACCTCTTTTCTTCATAAATTACCCAGTGTCAGGTATTTCTGTTACAGCAACACAAAAAGACTAATACAGAAAATTGGTACCAAGGAGTGGGGTGTTGCTATACAGGTACCTGAAAATGTGGATGGAGCTTTGGAACAGGGTATTGGGAAAAGGATGGAGGAGTTTGGAGGACTTACAAGAAGACAAAAAGATGAGAAAATATTTGGAACGTTTTAGAGATTGGTTAAATGGTTGTGACCAGAATGCTGATAGAAATTTGGGCAATAAAAGCCATGCGGATGATGAGGTCTCAGATAGAAATGAGGAACTTATCAGGAATTGGAAAAAAGATAATCCTTGCTACACCATAGCAAGGAATTTGGCTGCATTGTGTCCCTTGCCCTTGGACTTTATGGAAGGTGGGACTTAAGAGTTGTGAATCAGAATGTTTGGCAGAACAAATTTGCAAGCAGCAAAGCATTAAGGAAGCTGCATGGTTACTTTTAAGATAATCCTTGCTACACCATAGCAAGGAATTTGGCTGCATTGTGTCCCTTGCCCTTGGACTGTATGGAAGGTGGGACTTAAGAGTTGTGAATCAGAATGTTTGGCAGAACAAATTTGCAAGCAGCAAAGCATTAAGGAAGCTGCATGGTTACTTTTAACAGCCTACTCTGAGTTATGGTGGTAAAGGCATGATGTAAAGCCAGAATTTAGAAGGGAAGCAGAGCGTAAAGACTCTGAAAATTTGCAGGCTGGCCATGTGGTAGAGGAGCACAGAGCAGGAGGAAAATGCAAGAGTGAAGCAGATAAACTGGTTGGTAAAGACATTGGCTTTGCTGTGAGGCAGCCAGATGCTAATAGCCAGGACAATGGCTATTAGGATGGAATGATTGTATTTTGTATGTGAGAGTACATAAGTTTTAGGGGGCCAGGGGCGGAATGATAGAGTTTGGATGTGTTGTCCCGACCAAAACTCATGAGGAAATCTGATCCTTAATGTGGCAGTGCTGGAAGCTGTTGGAGTCATGGGGTGGATCCCTCATGAATGGATTAATGCTCTCCTTGGGAGAAGGGGTCCTGAGTGAGTTCTCATTCTATTAGTTCCCGTGAGAGCTGGTGGTTTAAAAGACCCTGGCACCTCCACTCTCTCTCTCTCTCTTGCTTCCTATCGCCATGTGATCTGCTTATAGCTGCCAGCTGCCTGCCACTTTCTGCTATGAGTAGAAGCAGCCTGAGGCCTGTGCCAGATGTAGTTGTCCCAGAATCGTAAGCCAAATAAACCTCTGTTCTTTATAAATTACTCAGTCTTAGGTGATTCTGTTATAGCACCACAAAATGGACTAATACAGCTTTGTGGGAGATTTTTCTTAAGAAATTTCAGGCTAGACTTTTAAAAAACCTCTCAAAGCTAAGGAAGCCAAGCCAAAGACTTACCATTGGGTTTCTCCTTCAGTACCTGAGTGAGTTTCTATTTTCTTGATGTTCTTGGGCCTGTCATAAAATGACATTGTTTACTTACTGCAAGGCCAGAAACCTTGTAAAGGAACAGCGTAGACAAGGTAACAGGCCAGTCTTTTTTTAAGTCTGTTGGCTTTATGAAATCCACCTCAGTTCATTAAAGTTGTCTAGTCATATCTGAAAATATGACTTTTTAGTCAAAGCCTTGGTAACATATCCACTGTTACTAATTGTATCCTGTTCCCAAAACAGGAACTTACACAAATAACTATATTTTTTAACAAAAACTATATCCTCATGCTTTCTTTATAACCTTTACCATATGTATCTTACCTTTTTTATATACTCTGTATACAGAATTGTTTCTCTTATATCTAGTAGCTTTAATTACATATGCTAACTACAGTTTTAACTCTTAGTAACCCTGATTTCCAGTGTAAAACCTAGGAAGCAGTTTTGAACTGTTTGATATCAGTATTTCTAGATGAAAATTATTTCATAATTTCTATTCTAGATATCTTTTCTTAATTTTTTAGCAGTTCTAAATATA